AAAAAAAAAAAAGAATATATGTGTATATAATATAAACACATTATACATTTCCAAAACACATAGAGAAAAAAAGTCCAGATACAACTACTCACTGACATACAAACCAACTTAGAAGTAGTCATTCACTCACCTGCAAACATTTTTTGAGTACCTACTACATACCAAGTAGTACCACAGTGCCTATGGAGAGAGAGAACTAATGTAAGCTACTCACTCCAAGGGCCTATCTAATAGGAAAGACCAGACAGTTCTTGCACAAAGTTCAATTATTGTGTAAATGAATACATGTTTTCTATCTTTTCTTCACGCTGTCTCCAGGTTACAACATATCATTATCATAACTATATATAGTATATATGTAGGATATATTATATACATTACATAAATTCATATAATTCCATGAAAGACTAGAAGGACATACTCCAAAATATATTTTTCTAAGACAGGGTCTTGCTATGTTGGCCAGATTGGTCTTGAACCCTAGGCCTGGCCTCAAGCACTTCCCCTGCCTCAGACTCCCAAAGTGCTAAGATTAAAGGCATGAGCCACCATGCCCGGCCAAAAAGAGTCCCTTAACTAAAATATTAAACACTGGTTATCTCTATTCTTTCATTGTGCCAGATATTTGAGCTAAGCCAGAAGGGAATTTGTTATGATGATAGCTGTTTATATTATCATTACCATCGTTATTAGAATGACTGCACCATCTCTGTTCTCAACTCATTCATATCTAGGAAAAAGGTTAAAAAAAAAAAAAAAGGAATAAACACCAAGTATGTGGAACTGCACTATTTAGTTTTTGTAAGTTTTCCAGGCATTGTGTAGCAAGTGTGTAGAAATAATTGTGGTTTCCTCTCCAGTTACTTTCCCAATTGGAGGAGAAAGATTCCAATAACTGGAACATTAAAAATAACACTAAATGGCTGAGCCACATTTTTAAGAAATAAAAACGCACACGCTTACACACACACACACTCCCCCCCACTCGCCCCATTTACCAAAATGGAGAACAGTACAGCTTAGTAGCTAAGAGCACGGGCTCTGGAGTTAACTTTCTCCCTGTCCTGCGGCGATTGTGGGGAAGTCAGGTTAGCTGTCTGCTCTCTGCTTCCTCAACTGTCAAATGGGGTTCTGGTCCCTATAAAGATTCAATGACGCGATATGTGAGGGGCTTGGAACAGTGAACGGCACGTAACCGCCCACAGGTTGACAGCTGCTCTTGGTTGGTGTGGTGGTGGTTTGTATCCTTATTAATACGGCTGTCTCTAGGTGAGCAAACAAGCGCTCTCACTTCTTCACACACCCAAGAACGGGTCCCAAACGAGAGATCTGGTGTAAACGTCAGCTCCCAACTAAGTTGCCAGACGCTGCCAACGACCAGAATTGCTCAGACAAACGTAGCGCTTCAATCACTAAAGCGCTTTCCCAGCCCTCGACCCTGCCTCGAGATGTCCGCCGCCCACCGTCAGATCGCCGCCTCCTCCCCATCCCTAGCGACCTCGGCTATCCGGGTCCAGTCCTTGGACCTCGCACCCCTCCTGCCTCGTCCCAGGAAGCTCCGCACCTAGCCGTCCGCCATCCTCAGCACAGCCACCACCGCGGACTCGGCGTTTCTACTGCCCCGGAAGTACTCGGTCAGCTCAGAGGAGGGCCTTTCTGTCCAAGAAAACTTCCGGGTTAGGAAGCCGCTGGGGCCGGAAGGAGTTCGATGGTGGTTAGGTAAGTGACGGCTTCATTGGGGTCCTTAAAAGGGGGCTCCTAGGAGCGCCGAGGTGTGAGTGGTAGCCTGTGGCTCGGGGTCGGGAGTGCAAGAGGCGAAATCTGGCCTGAGTGCGGGAGTTCAGTCATCGAACACTTCCTGAGAGCCAACCACCTGCCAGGCACTGCCCTGGGGTCCAGGGACACATCAGTGAACCAACAGAAGGACCCTGCTCTCAAGCAGCTGACGTTCTAGTGCGCAAAGCAGACTATAAACAAGTCAACAAACAGGATTATCTAAGGTTGTAGTAAGTGCTGTAAAGAAATTTAGAATGGGTAATATGGAAGTGGGAGAGTAATAAGCCGTATGAAAATCTGGAGTAAAGCATTTCAGGCAGAGAGAATAGTGCGTGCAAGGGCCATATAGTGGGAACAAACTTAGCAAAGTCAAGGAAAAGACAAAAGATCACTGGCTAGAGCCAAAGGAACAAGGTGAGAATGGAGAGAGATGATGCCAGGGACTTGAGCACCAAATCTTGTAAAGTTTATGAGCAAGGATAGAATTTGATTTTTATTTGGAACCCAGTGGAAAGCTATTGAAGGTTTTTAAGCAGATGAATGACATGATCTTAGTTATGGCTTTTTTTTTTTTTTTGAGACGAAGTTTCGCTCTCGTTACCCAGGCTGGAGTGCAATGGCGCAATCTCGGCTCACCGCAACCTCCGCCTCCTGGGTTCAGGCAATTCTCCTGCCTCAGCCTCCTGAGTAGCTGGAATTACAGGCACGCGCCACCATGTCCAGCTAATTTTTGTATTTTTAGTAGAGACGGGGTTTTACCGTGTTGACCAGGATGGTCTCGATCTCTTGACCTCGTGATCCACCCGCCTCGGCCTCCCAGAGTGCTGGGATTACAGGCTTGAGCCACCGTGCCCGGCCTGAAACCCTGTCTCTTAAAAAAATACAAAAATTAACCAGGCGTGTTGGTGGGCACCTGTAATCCCAGCTACTCGGGAGACTGAAGCAGAGAATTGCTTGAACCCGGGAGGCGGAGGTTGCAGTGAGCCAGGACCTCACCACTGCACTCCAGCCTGGGTGACGGAACAAGACTTCCTCTCAAAAAACAAACAAAAAAAGCAGATGCCCAGGCATCCCCTGGAGATCCCTATTCAGTAAGTCTGTGGGGCCAAGAAATCTGCATCTTTAACAAGTGAATTTGATATAAATGGTCTAAAAAATTACAGAGTGAGAAAACCAATCAAATTCTCTAGAGTGTTCTGCTAGTAAAACTAAAGAGGTGTCTTTCCTTATCTTCACATCTCTTCATCAACAGTTTTCAGAGCCTGAAGCTCTGGAAAGTTAATAAGTTTGCAGCAGACACCTTTCTGACTACCACGTTGATGACGTCTGAACTCAAACTTTTAAGCACTTGCCACAGGCAGTGGCCCCATGCTAAGGACAGAAGATTTTTAGACTCTCATTCGTAAGCTTACAGTCTTTTGAACGGATAACTAACTGCTAAGAGGAAAACTAAGTCTTACAATAGCATACTCTCAATGTGTTAGGTGACTGACAGAGAAAAAAAAACTCATCTGTCAAGACGGTAGATGTGAAAGGGCTTCCTGAATAAGATGAAATTAAAGTTAAATATTATAAAGAGGATACAGTTTCCCTCAGAAAGATATCGATGGAAAAGGGCAGAAAGATTTTTAAGCAAAAGGAACAACTAGATCCAGAACTTTAAGGTGAAAGGTTACTTAGAGAGAATGGAGAGTAAAACAAGCATAGTTGAAGCTTTGAGCTGTGGCAGGAAAGCTGGGTAGATTATAGGATTTAAGCAAAGAAAGGAATGATAATGATAATCAACCTCTAGGTGAGGAAACCAAGACCGCTGGAGCACATCATAGCTAATCTGAGAGGTACAGCTAAAGAATAGACTTAATGTTTAAATCCATTCATTCCTCCTACAAGCAATTATTGTGCTTAGGTGCACTACTGGGCTTCTCATGCCTTTCTGTTCTGGTACTTGAATCTAATCTTGGAGAATTTTAGATGCCATATTGGAATTTTAAGTTTATCTCATGGGCAGT